AATAAACCCTCTTAACTAAGTGCCAGGCGGGTAATTAATCACTTTAACTACGAACAATCATGCTTAAGCTACATAATCGTTACTCCCTGGAATGGAGATAAGAAATGCCCTAACCTTTGGAATAGAGATTGATAGGATTGGAATCAACTGGTATAAATACAGATGTAACAAGACAAGACATAGAACTTAGAACTCAGAACTTAGAAGACAGAACTTAGAAGACAGAACCTACACAGAACCTAGAGACAGAAGAACTTCGCTGGAGAGAACATGGCAAAAGATCCTGGACAGAATCTGGCTACAGAACTTGTTTGGAGAACCTAGACAGAACCAGGAGGTGCCCATGCCCGAGATGCTGTACGAAGAGGTGCTGGAGGTGGACGAACGAGTGGTGCTCTATCGTGGGGAGCCAGGCTCCGGGACGCCTGTCAAAGGTGTGTGCCTCCCCCTGGCCGGTGTGGCTCAGTGGACAGAGCGTCGGCCTGCAGACTGAAGGGTCCCGGGTTCGATTCTGGTCAAGGGCCCAGGTTGCAGGCTCGATCCCCAGTGTGGGCTGTGCAGGAGGCAGAAGATCCATGATTTTCTCTCATCATTGATGTTTCTCTCTCTCCCTCTCCCTTCCCCTCTCTGAAATCAATAAAAAATACATATGTGCCCCCCCCAGATCAGTCCCACAAGCTCCCCCATATCTTGGCAGTGTGGGGAGAGGGCATGTGGCCCTAAGAGGGGACTGTGGACGGGACCCCAGGAGTATGAGTTCCTGGTGCTCCATGTGGGGCTGACATGGCCCCCTCACCTGCCCCCTCCCACAGTGTGCTATGGGCTGGGCATGGAACACCTGCGGGAGGCGAGGGCAGTCACCAGTGCCAATATCCAGGAGTTTGCCGGCTGCAAGAAGATCTTTGGGAGCCTGGCGTTTCTGCCAGAGAGCTTTGAGGGGTAAGGATACTCCGATTAAGGGAGGGCACAATGGTCGCAGACAGTGTCGGGGCAGTCACCGATTCCTGAAGACCCAGGAGTGGCAGCATCTGGTGGGGGAGGGGGGATTCCCTCTCTTCCACTCTCCCTAACAATCAATGGAAACATATCCTCGGGGGAGGTCTGAAAAGTAGACAGGCGTGTGCCCCCGCGGCATGATCCGGGACCTCTGATGGGCAGTGGTGGCCTCCTTGCAGGCTGCACGGGGGACCTGCTGGAGGTGCAGCGGCCTGTGGACCTGGGGGCCCTGCGCGGGAAGTTGGAGGGGCTCCTGGCCCGCGGCATCCGCAGCCTGGCCGTGGTCCTCATGCACTCCTACACGTGAGTGCGTGTGCCGGGTCCAGGGCTCCTGGCGGTGCCCCCTCTGAAAGGCCTGCTCCAGGCCCTGGGTTTCGGCCCCAACCAGGGCATTGGGGAAGTGGGGGGCATTAGGCCTGGCGCCCCAATCTGCCCAGCCCTGGCCCTGCCTCAGGCTGCCTCCTCCCAGAGCCCCTCCCAGACCTGGATGCCCCTCCCAGCTCTGCCCCCCCGGGGTGGGGGGCGAAAGCCTCCTGAGCAGAAGGCCAGGACCGAGTGGGGGGCAGTGGTTGGGCGGTAGGGCGAGGGCGGGAAGGGCAGTGCTGCAGGTCCTTGCCGCAGGTGGGCCCAGCATGAGCAGCAGGTGGGTGCGCTGGCCCGGGAGATGGGCTTCACACACGTGTCGCTGTCCTCGGAGGCCATGCCGATGGTGCGCATCGTGCCGAGGGGGCACACGGCCTGTGCCGACGCCTACCTCACCCCCGCCATCCAGCGC